GTTGTATTTTACCATAGTGTTATTGCATAAACAGTAATTTGTACGTTTGGTTAAGACAGCACCACATCATGGATTTTGTAGTCTTAAAGTCTGCACAAACAATTGTTCTTTTGCATGTGCCTTATTTGTTTGCATAAATTAAACTACTTGCACATAAAACTATAGATGGTTTGGTGCATCAAGGTAAAATGAAGATTTGATGAAAGCTAGTTTAAAGAAGCACTATTAGTTTGGCAATAAGAATTGTCATTTACATAAAGCATCTCTCCCAAATTACAGAATGCAATTAAAGACAAAGATGCCAGAAGGTGAAACTACTCTCTTCAATGAGGAGAGGTACATTTTTTTCACTTAATGCATGATCTCAGAAGCATGAAAAAGAACATTGCTATTTCTTTTATTGCTTTCTGTGACATGCAAACAGTCCTATGCATTACTCTAGAGTGAATTCTTTCAAAATATGAGGTGGAGGCAAGTCACAATCTTGAACTCTCTTACCAGAGATAAACAAGCACCTGAATTTTGTCCCACTGACCTGCCATCAAATCAATGGATGTGAGGGCGATCTGGCTGCGACATCTGTCACCCCATTGATCGCCAGGGTTGATTCAACCTGTCATATTTTGTCTGGAGACATATGTTGGAACTACTTAAGACTATTATTACAGTAACTTTTAGAGAATTTTTTAAATACTGAATTATTAGCAAAATTCAGTTTATTGTTCCCATTTCTGCCTGCTTGCCTAAGTTTTAGCAATGAGGCAATACAGTATTGCTGCAATTTTCAGCTTTAAAAATTTTCAAATTCTAAGTACACTTAAAACTTCTTTAGGCTTGGATGGGACTTCTGATTCCTGTATGTTCCCTGCCTCCTTCACAAAACATGTGGATCTGTGTCTACATGAACTTGTTAGCAGCCATGTGGGGAACAAAGAGGAGAGCTGGAAGCAGAGTAAATTAGAAGACAAAGGGAAACTCCAAAGGGGAACATGAAAAAGCCCTTCCCAGAACACAATGTTTTACAAACTGCCATTATTATTGTGAAATCAGTGCCAACATTTATTCTTCTGATTTGCCCCAGATATAATGTACTTCTGCACACAAGAAGGACAGGAAGTCCTGACAGAATCCTAATAGAATCTCTATGCTCAAAAGCCATCCATCTACCAGACAAGACTGCCATCTGTTATCAGCATGTGTCCATACTTGTCAGCAAGACTAAGGAGGCTCCCAGACTGTCACTAGTTTCAGGTGGGATTCAAACACATGCTGGCAAATACAAAATTGTAGTGAATTGGGAGATCTTCCCCAAAAGATTGGACTTTTTGTAATGAGGAAAGTGATGGGAAGAGGCACTATAAGTGAGGGATAGCACTTGCTTTGACACAATAAATTTCAGCTTTGAATCAGGATGAATGCTCAATAAGCAGGTCATCTCGGAGCACCCTGAATCTCATCAAGGAAAGGGTAATGCATCTGTGGGCTATGAACAAGACCAGGTCTCATCTCAAGTTCTTAGAAGATTTCGAACCAGCTGTGTAGGATAACAGATCTAATCCAGATGGAACAATGCCAGATCTGGTCCTTTCCATAAACCTGTCTCGATAAAGACAGGTAATGCTTGCCTCCAAGATTGGCTGGCATATGGCTTGAGAAGCACTGTCCATACCTCTTTGCCACTTTTCCCTACAGGCAAAGAGAGCACATTGACAAGCACAGGCATGAAAAGGAATAGCAATTTTTAAACACAGAGTTACATTTTACTGCAGCTTTGCAAATTTACACTATGCCATTTAATGGTACAGGGAGCTCTCAATACATAACTATCTAAGGATATCCGAATGCAGCTATCCCAACACTAAAGTTCCAGGAATCAAGCTTTTGTTTGATATGAAAGTGTAGCTACAACAAGATCAACACTTGTTTACTGCTGCTACACGTTGCTAGCAATTTCAGATCAACTTTGCAGATTCAAATGACCACCATGGTTTTAGTGAAGAGGGTACAATTTTTAGATTAGGCCTAATTTTAAAATTTCACAATTAGTTTTTGCTCATCAGACCTTCGCTTTAAGTCAGGAATGGGGAATTTGTAGCCCTCCAGGAGTTTTTCAGAAGCTGGAAAACTGAAAGTTATATAATTTAAGCAGGATTTCAGCTCATTTCTAAAAATGGTGGGAATGACACAAATATGTACAGATTAATTGCTTTATTAATCCAACCTTGTTTCATGTGCACATCTGGCTTCTGAACTTCAGAGTGCTTCAGACAGAATATAGTTGTGACATTACATGGGTCTCCCATTATTGCCACTGCTCCTATGTTCTCACAAAAACAGGATGCATCCAACAGAAATTATAAGAATGGAGAACCAATCTCAAGATGCTGAAGAGTGCTGTACTGTTTATTAGTGCTTTGTGTTCTCAAAAGGTTCCTGCCATCCCTTCCCTTTCTGTAATGTCGAAACTGCAGATCCTCTTGGGCTTGGTTGGCTATAAGAGGAGGGGGGAAACCTCAGATCAGGACTGGCGTTGTCACTTCCCATCTTACTTTGCTATTCAAGAAGACTGTCACTACCATCACAGATATGCTTGCAGACATGGCCAAAGGAGGGGAATGCAGTGACTTTTGCTGTTGCATTTCAGCTGCTATGATCCTAAGCCTGGAGAGCAGGTGGCTGCCATATATTTGTGCTCATTCATGTCTCTTAAGCACCAAAAATGCCTCTCAGAATACAAGGGAAGTTAGGTATGGGAAGGGTTCTCTCTCAGACTCCACTGCAATGGCACACTGTTCCAGAAGGGGTAGAGGAGCACCACGTGAACTGTGTTCCTCCCAGCCGGCCCCATAGTTGATTGCTGGGTTGGAGGGTGTGTGATTGCAATGGGGAAGAAGCTGTTTGGGGGAACTAAAGGAAGCACCATCTCTCATTGCTAGGGTGGGGAAGGATCTGCTCTCCTCTGCCTCATCAGGGACTTTGAAAGTGAGGATCACGCTGGCTGCTGCCCCTGTAATCCCCACTTTAAAAGGATTTCTTACTCATTGCTGTGATGGAGAAGCCTGCCTTTCTTGGTCTGAGCAGGGAGAGACTATGGCAATGTTTGTGCATGTGTGTGCGCGCGCACTCAGACCACGTTGATGCCACCAACTTAGGCCCTCCAATGGTCACACATTGCTCCATGTGGTCCTTGAGGGCAAAAGGCTTGTCCACCTCTGCTCTAGGAGAATGTATGGAAAAATTAATCATAGGATACTTGTGCTAACAAAATATGATTTTTAGCAACTAAGGTTATGGTCTCCTTCTATTCCCATCTGGTGCTGAGTACTGGAGCTATCATTTGGCACAGGGCTGGGGAACCTCAGGCTGGGAGCCTATTTGCCTGGCCCTCAAGACTCCCCCAGGCCACCCTTGGCCCTGCTCCAAAGCCTCTTCCTGGAACAGGAGGGACATGCAGTTCAGCAAGTGATAGCAAGCTGGACAGCTGTAATTTTGGCCCACAGCAAAAGAAAATGAGTAAAAAGCAGAAGCTGCTTACTTTTAATCACCTTCTGTAGAGTCATCTCTTCAGCCTACCAGCTCACATTTCACAAGGTGACCATTCAGAGGGTCAAAGCTGAACACATATTGTAAATTCTTCAATGATTTTAGCTTGATGTGAAAGTTTTTTTCAGATTTCCTGGTGGGAAAGTAACTGAGGAGTAATTAACCATGTCACAGTATTATAGTCCAAGCTGGATGAGATGTTGATTAGTGATCCAGCTGCCATGGATACGCAAGTCCAGTTAGAAAGCCAGTTGGTACTACACAACTGGGAATGGTGAAGGAGGGGTGGTGGACTGAGTTTCCCATGCTCCCCAAACGACTGCTTCTCCCATTCTCATATCACTAGGACTCAGGTTCATCCAATGAAGCTGAATGTTGAAAGATTCAGGATAAAGCGCTTCTTCACACAGCACACAGTTATGCTGTGGAATTTGCTTTCACCAGAAGCCATGATGGCCACCAACTTGGATGGCTTTAAAAGACAAATTCATGGAGAATCAGACTATCAATGGCTACTAACCATGATGGGTGTCTTGCATCTCCGTTGTTGGAATGCTGTTGTGGTCTGGTCCTGCTTCTGGGTTTCTCATAGGCATCTGGTTGGCCACTGTGAGAACAGGATCCTGGACTAGATGAACTACTTCTTAAGTTCCTATGACTGGTAAAGGTAAAGGGACCCCTGACCGTTAGGTCCAGTGGTGGACGACTCTGGGGCAGCGGCGCTCGTCTCGCTTTACTGGCTGAGGGAGCCGGCATACAGCTTCCGGGTCACGTGGCCAGCATGACTAAGCTGTCATGGTCCAGTCTACGGGCAATCAAAGTCCTGGCTGAGGACGTCGGGACCGGGGGCAAGATGGCAGGGGTGGGAGCAGGAACAAAAGTCCAGAAGCCAGGGGTCCAAGGGTCAGGAAGCAGGGAGTCATGAAGTCAAGGGTCCGGGGGTCAAGAAGCAAGGAGTCAAGGAGATGGGGTCCGAGAATCAGGAAGCAAGGAGCCAAACGTAGCAAGGCAGGAAACGTGTTGCTGTGGCAAAGAGCTGAAGGGAAATGCTAACCTTATATCCCTTCCTGGCTCTTGCCACCAGGTGCAGTGAGTTACCAAGTAGCCTCACCCTGCGGCCACGCCTTGCCTCTCCAGAACAAATTTAGGAAGGCCCCAGTCCTGTGAAGCCCTACTGGTCACAGGGCCTGGCTCCTGCATGCACTCCTGATATAAGCTGCTTCTGGCGAACCAGAGCAGAGCACAGAAATGCCGTTTACCTTCCTGCTGGAGTGGTACCTATTTATCTACTTGCACTTTGACGTGCTTTCGAACTGCTAGGTGGGCAGGAGCTATGACTGGTACAGCCATTTTATTTCTAACAAAGTTCTATTCCAGCTGGACTTGCTTACTAGCAACCAATCCAACCCCAACAGTACATTTTGATGTTCTATGAATGCTGAGATACAACATACAAATTCGTTAAGAAAGCTAGTTTTTACTTAATATTTCCTTGGAAATACAAAAATACATTCATGAAACATGACTAGATACAATAATATTATACAATTTCAGAGGTTTTGAATGCTTGGCTTATTCCCTTTAGATACATTGCTTTGAAGACTCTAAAACTTTCTTAATGTAAAAGTGTTTTTCTGTCCAGACATTTCAGTGCAATTAATTTTCTCCTCATAACTTGTTGCGTTTCTTCTGCTCCCAAACTAAATGGTAAAAATTGCTTACATACTAAACCAATCCAAGCCAGGGTTATACATATGGTACACTGTAGTTAAACATTAAATAATCCAGATAATAAAAGTTGTAAATCTGCTGTCTTTCTGTGTTGGAAATTTCTGCCAAGTATTGTCTGACAACTTCTAAATTTGTTCTTTTTTCACTGGAATGCCTGTCTTTGAAATTAGGAAAAGTCAGCCCCTCTGGTGCACCTATTAGTCTCAAAAAATAATTGGCATCATCTCCCAAAGTCTCAAATTTTCCAATGTAATCATAGTTGATAGCACAAGGATAACAGAGTTGGCTGATCTGTTCCCAGTGAGTGTCCATACCTACTGGCCGATGGAATCTAACAAATACTGGATGAACTCTTTAAATTTCACTCCTGAGCCTGTTGCCAATGCCACTCTATCTGCATTAAGTCTGTATTTCTTAATAATTGCCTTCCCAAATACAGGGTGGTAGTAGCTGTTTGGATGTTCAAACTTATCTCTGAATGCAGACACTAATCTTTCCATGGGATCCCGCACAAATATAACTTTGGTGTACGTCTTTAAACGCTTGTGTATCCCTTTTAGATTGTAGCTGTCTAGTTTTCTGAGATGCTTTCCATAATGTGCAGCATCATGCGTAATGTTAGCAGCAGAATCAGCAACGCCACTGAGCACCATCAAAACCCGCTTCCAGTTGGAACAACCTGCCTTAGGCACCTCACAGTACAAGACTTTGTGCTTATCTTCCACATAGATTCTGGACACCATGCGCGTAAGGTGAGTCCGGGGTCTGCTTTTGCCAGTGTACCTTTTGCAGAAATCGTAAAGGAAAGATCTTCGTTTCTCTTGCATCTCATCTGTGGTTTTCCAGTGATTGCTTTTGATTAAAGTTTTGTTTAAAGGGCGCAGAACTGGTGGTAAATTCACTTGCCTGAACTGTTTAAGAAGCGATTTAATCTTCTGCGACTCTTCAGATAATCCAGTGGTCAAGGAGCCTGCCATCCCTAGAATAGGGTCAGCATCTCCCTGAGAATGTCCAATCTCAATAAGAGCTTTACGTGGCTTGTCAAGCTTTTCACCAGTGACCCAGTTTTTTGTTTTCTTTCAGGTTCCTCTGAAGAATAGAATCTGAAGTTCTAAGGGGGGGGAAAAGAAACCAGAGAACTCTTAGAATGTTCCTCTATTGGGGCCTGCTAAAAATGTTGCTGCGTAGAGAGCTGCTTTTCGGGATTCCATCTGCCCCATTCCTTTCTCTCTCCCCTCAAATTTTCCACCCCCCCACTGCCCCAACATTCACCCATCATGTTGTAGCAATTAAGCATGTTTTTTGGGACTCTCACTCCCTTAGGGTTTTGGTTTCTTTAGAAAAAACCGCCAACTACTACTGCAGCCCTTGATGTTTCCAGTGTATGCTTGCACTTCCCTCTTGAGCATGGATGCTGTCTGCTTTGGCCACATAAGCCAAACAAATAGCACTTGCTTGCTGAAACAGATCTTATCTGCATTGCTCACCACCAGTCAACCTTCATTAACAAAGTAATGAAGTGATGGGTAATGAGTGAAATTTGCTGTAGGAAGGCACTCTGGAATCCTTGTTAGCAGATAAGGAAAATGGATTCTCAGTATATTTTTTATTGAACAAGTAGTTCTATGTTCTTTAAAGGGGAAAATGAATATTAAGAGAGGAGACTTATCTTTTTACAGAAGTTGAGTAACAAGGAGTCCTCTCATGCATGGTTCTCAGGGGTTTGCTAGATTTATTTATTTATGAGCAGATTTATAACCCACATATTTCACAAATGCTTGCACAAGGATTTGTGCAGTACTATAATCCCAGGTTCTGTGGGACTTCTGCTTTATCTTGCACTAGAGAAACCACATCTTTGGATTCTGCTTAACTTTTCTGATTAAAAAAAGATCTAGGATGTGGCATAAACTATCCTTCCATGACTAGAAGACACCTTTCATGTGTGGAAGGGAAGGACACTTTTGGAATCTTCCAACTGATTTTACTGGTGGTTTTATTTGTTTTATTTTGTGTTGCAATTTAGTGGCTTTATATGGCGAACTGCCTACAGGGCTTAGCATGGGTTGAGGTGAAAGCTGAATAAACAAACAGACAAACGAACTGATTGAAATTGACTAGCGACCAGGAATCTATTTATAACTGTACTTTTCTGAATGTTGTGTAGATTGAATCCCAGGAATCCCTAAATGATACAAATGAACTTCTGCAGCTGAGGATATATACAGGAAATATGCAAATACAGATAACAACACTGATATCACAAACATCTGTAGATCTGAAATTTACCCTCAGTGTATTATGAGTGGAAAACCTTTGAATGATTTCAACAAGAGGGAATGAGATATAAAAAGCCAGGTGATGGCTATTATCCAAGAACTGATTTAAATAAACAAGTCAGCTGGGACCCCTGACCAAAGCTCAAAGTTATCCCTAAGGACATTGCGGAGAGGTAACAGAAAGTGACCAGAGGACTTCTAGTGCAGCTACCTGAGAAAGAGAGTACGCACTTGCAGCAGGAGATGCTGAACCACTATGACAGGAGTGACTTTTGTTGTTGTTGTTTTGTTTGCTAGAGCAGCTAAGCTTCTCAAAAGTGCCTCAGGTAGCTCTCCCCAGGTTCAACTGGCACACACACACAGCAGGAGTGCCGTGGAACTGCTCCCTGCTCAGCTCTGGGAGAAAATTGTCAGTCAGGAAGAAGGCAGCACTAATCAGAAGTGGGGTGGAAAGGGAGACAAAAATAAGGGGAAATGGATGTTGCAAGGTGAGGGTTACATTATGTAAAGCACCATTTTTGCTATTTTGTTTCATGGCCCCCATACTTAATATTTCTGTAGTTCCAAAGTCATTAACAATGGTACCAAGTTGTGATTAGTGGCTGGTGATTGTCAGGTACTGAGTAAGTGAGTGCAGAGTGAGGGAAGGACAATCCATGTTAGTCTGTGAGCCATCGGTTGCTGGTCCATGGTGACTCCACCACAGCCCAGCTTGGGTGGGATGCTTCAGGGACCAAATAGGGTACCAGTATCTGTGGGGAATGCTGATCCACCACATCAGATAGTGTGAGAAGCACTGAATATTTTGATGCAAGTAGCATGAATAGTCCCTGTATTATCCTGCTTTTTGTTGAAATTGCAATGGTATACTGGCTTGTCAATAAATAAATCATCACTACAGTCTCTCTTCCTTTTGTGAACCTGTGTGGTATAGTGGTTACAGTGTCAGACTATGACTTAGGAGACCAGGGCTACAACTCTTCACTCAAAACTTTGGGCCTAAACTACCTTGCAGGGTTGTTGTGTTTAAATGAGATGGGGGAGAACCCTGTATACCTTGAGCTTGAGCCACCTTGAGCTCCTTGGAGAAAATAGTGGGATATAAACACATTTAAATAAACAGATAGATAAAATAGGTTTATGTTAAACATAATGGATGGAATTCAATGCTGCACTAATTTGATCATTCTCTCAGTGTTTCCACATGCCAGAAAGAATGTTCTCCACACACAGAAAAACACCTGGGGTGTTCTGGGAATTCTCCTGACCCCCTAGAGCTAATTTGGTGGGAGGGCACAGAGGAATAGGGGAAAGAAGTCCCATTGCACTAGCAGGATTTGTTGTTCTGGCTCCTGCTAGTGCATCTGCTCAGTTGAATCTGGCCCACTAACTGCTGCAATTAGTGAATAAAAACAACTAACGTTTGAACAGAGGCAGCCTCCATAAGTGCTTTGTTTTATTGACTCTATTTAGGAAAAGGAGCAAAGAGAAAAATGTCAATCACAAAAAGCAGCTGGCCACCCACTCAAATGGATGCAAGTTAGATATCTTGGAACTTGTTTTCATGTTTTCTGTATAAATTAAAAACCTTGGAAGTAGTGATTTTGTGTCTCCCTGTATTAGCTAATCAGCTTTCAGTGCTCCTAAGCAAGAGTCCCACTTTCACCTTCCAAGCATTCCCTGCAGTGCATCAAATGTGACATTCTAGGAAGCAGAGTGTCTATGTGCATTTCTTCTTGCATTCCCTGTACTGCCGAGAAGCTCGGAAAGGTCACTTTACCCTCACAGCAATCTTGTGGAGATGGACAGGGCTTGTGAGACACAAGGGGCCATGACGCCATCAATGGATGCTCCTGGTGCACCCATGCAACACTGGTTTACTGTGCATTATGTTACTCATGTTATGGCCACCTGCGTGGAGCAGCTCTCTGCCGAGGTCGTTTCATGTACTTTCTACATGAAATGTGTGACCTCAGTGAACTCATAAACCAGGTGACCTTTGAAGGATGGTCTTCCCCGTTCCATAAGGAATCACAGTGGTCATTAAATGTCTCAATAATGGTTAGCCTTGGGGTTGTGTCTAAGAATACCCAGGATTTCCTTGTCCAATGCAAGTGAGACAAGGGTCTCAGTTGACTTGATAAATCAACCACTGTGGTGCCCTCTGGATGTTCCTAGACTACAACTCCCATCATCCTTGACTATTGGCCAGATTGCCTGGGGTTGATGGAAGTTGTATTCAAACAACATTTGGAAGGCACACGTTGGCTAACCCTGCCGTGATACAGTAACTTCTGCATCTTGACTGCATAACCCAAGCAAGCCAGAACAGTTCGGAAAAGCAGGGATTTCCATTAGGGAAGCTATTTAAAAGGCTATTTAAGTTTCAATGATGTTTTAAACCTTTTAAATTTAGCAATGTGGTTGTTTAAAATGTAAAAAATATACAAAACGTGAAATAAAATACATTCTGTCTAGTCCAGGAAAGGCAACCAGAAAGAGAAAAATGGGAGCAAGCTTTACTGTGTTTTAAATTTTATTCTCCATTCTCCTGTTTTTGTATTTGTGTATTGTATTTGTGTTATGCCCTGAAATTGGATAAGATGAAAGTTGGCATTAAAATGTTTTAAGTAAATAAACTTGGGAATGCAGCAGCCAGTGCCCACTTATAGATGAGAAAGGGTTAAAAACTACAGAAAGAAGCCACAAAAAGAGGATGAAATGGGGGTCAGTGGCACAGGGGGAAGGTTTAACCCTTTCCCCATGAGTAATTTCCCTGATTCTCATCTCTCAAAACAACAAGAACAGCTGTTAGTCCCATGGAGCGGGCTATGGTGGGAGCTAGACTATCTTAAGTGGGGTGGGAGTGGCGGAGAGAAAGTATCAAGACATAATTCCTTGGCTAGGTCAAAACATACCACTTTCTTTTAGCTTCTTATTTGTTCATACAAGACTGTATAAAATCACATGCATTAATGAAATGAGGCAGTTTGCACAATCTGGTTCAACAAACTGATTTGTGTAGGCAGTAACTTGGATAAACGGAATTAATCTCCAATTTTGTTTGCCAATTCTTGTTAAACTGCTAATTAATTTCCCCCTTGTCTTCCTCTTACAGTCAAAATATTATGTATTTTTTTTCTTAATAAGCTGAACTTCATGATGGCTGAGGAATTCTGAATCTTTGCCAGCCTAGTAGCATCTCCACATTAGGGCTACACTCTATGATCCTCTAAATGGCATTAACTGCTGGTAAATATTTATATGCATGCAGTTTTTGGCTCTAATCCAGAGAAAGTTAGTTGTGCTTAAGTTTTATTCAAATAAAGGAGATGAATTACTTGCAACTAAATTAAGCTCCAGTTAGATCTTCAGCAAAACCAACTTACTCTGGATAGAAACAACTGAGCTCTGTTAGATAATTTCAAGCCAGCTACAGAGAAAAGTGAAAAACCAACCCAACCCACTGGCTTCAGCAAGAGTTTTATTCTATGTCAATACATTATTCTTTTTGTCTGTATTCAAACATGGTAATGGATTAAGATGAACCTTGAAATAATAATAAAACAACAAAAGATTAAATTATTTTGAAAATACCTAATCAATTTGTCTACCATATGTTTTCAGCTGAAACTGTTGTGCTCCTTTTATTAAATGTTAAAATAACTATTTTAATCTATACAAAAAACCTGTTTTTAATGAATCTTCTCATTACACACAATGTCTGGCTCCACCTCCAGTCTGCAGTTTCTACATTTTTAATTCCTTCTTGTCCATTCATTGAATTAGACATAATTACTTCTAAACAGTTTGTTTTTATTCACATTGTTTTTATGTTTCAATCCTGCTTTTAAGAGGGGGTTGTTTCATATGACTACAGTGGTACCTCAGGTTACATACGCTTCAGGTTACATACGCTTTAGGTTACAGACTCTGCTAACCCAAAAATAGTACCTCGGGTTAAGAACTTTGCTTCAGGATGAGAACAGAAATCATGCAGCAGCGGTGCGGTGGCAGCAGGAGGCCCCATTAGCTAAAGTGGTGCTTCAGGTTAAGAACAGTTTCAGGTTAAGAACGGACCTCCTGAACGAATTAAGTACTTAACCTGAGGTACCACTGTATTTGTTCATAGGGAGTAAGGTAAAGGTAACGTTAAGGGATCCCTGGACAGTTAAGTCCAGTCAAAGGCGACTACGGGGTATGGCACTCATCTTATTTTCCCTGCCGAGGGAGCCGGCGTTTGTCCACAGACAGCTTTCTTGGTTATGTGGCCAGCATGACAAACTGCTTCTGGTGCAACGGGACACTGTGATGAGTGCTAGAGTACACAGAAACACCATTTACCTTGCCGCCACAGTGGTACCTATTTATCTACTTCCGCTGGTGTGCTTTTGAACTGCTAGGTTGGCAGATGCTGGGACAGAGCAGGTTATGCAGGTGACACTGTGGTCTAGACCACTGAGCCTCTTGGGCTTGCCAATCAGAAGGTCGGCAGTTTGAATCCAGGCAATAGGGTGAACTCCCATTGCTCTGTCCCAGCTTCTGCCAACCTAGCAGTTCGAAAGCATACCAGTGCAAGTAGATAAATAGGTACCGCTGCAGTAGGAAGGTAAATGGCATTTCTATGCACTCTGGCAGTTGTCACGGTGTCCCGTTGCACCAGAAGCAGTTTAGTCATGCTGGCCACATGACCCTGAAAGCTGTCTGTGGACAAACACCAGCTCCCTTGGCCTGAAAAGTGAGATGAGCACCACACCCCATAGTCACCTTTGACTGAACTTAACCATCCAGTCATTTACCTTTTGCCATAGGGAGTGTAGTGTGGCAGAAACAACAAACATCTGCCTATAAATTATTGAATGGGTTTTAACCTATCTAATGCAAAATATCTAATACAAAGTACTGTATGTATATCTCATGAACTATGCAGTTAAAAGATGTATATACATTTTTAAAATACCTGATTAATTGCGTGCTGCTGTATTTTTTCTTCAGACACTGAAAGAAAAAATTAAAAATCAGTAAGTAGTAGTATATTACAATGAAGTGATCATGTACATAACAAAACTAAGTTACGAGAGAAAAGTTATGAAACAAAGTGCAAAAGTATACAGAAATATTGAAACTAGCTACCTTTTTAATCAGTATTCTAGAATATGTGGAATGTTCACACATTAGGAAAAGCATATTGGCCTAGTTTGCATGTAACATTAAAACATGGTTTAAACAAACCTTAGTTAACAAATCATGGTGTAGTGCAGTGTTTCCCAACCTTTTTTGGGCAAAGGCACACTTCTTTCATGAAAAAAATCTCGAGGCACACCACCATTAGAAAATGTTAAAAAATTTAACTCTGTGCCTATATTGACTATATAAAAAGTACAGTGGTGCCTCGCAAGACGAAATTAATTTGTTACGCAAGTCTCTCCGTCTTGCGAGTTTTTCGTCTTGCGATGCACGGTTTCCCATAGGAATGCATTGAAAATCAATTAATGCGTTCCTAGGGAAACCGCCTTCAGACCAGGTCCGGGGACAGTCTGTCCCCCGACCTCTTCTGAAGGCTGGGGGGGGGGACAAGGGCTTTTCTTCCCACTGCCAGCCTTCAGAAGGCTGTTCTGAAGGCTGGCGGTGGGAAGAAAAGCCCTTCTTCCCACCTCCCGCCCCGCAAGCTCCGGGGACAGGAGGGCTTTGCTGCCGACCGCCAGCATTTTAAAAGCCCCTGCTGTCCCGGGGCGATTTTAAAATGCTGGCGGGCGGGAGCCAAGTCTCCGCTGCCCCGAGGAGATTTTAAAATGCTGGGGGTCGGCAGCGAACGCTTCGCTCCCGCCCGCCAGCATTTTAAGATCGCCCGGGGCAGCGGAGAAGTCTCCGCTGTCCCGGGAAGGCAGGCGGGGGGAGCAAAGACTTTTGCCCCCGCCTGCCTTCAGAAGAGGTCCAGGACCTCGTTCCGATGCCCGGCGGTGGGGTGCGAGGTTCCCGCCCCACCGCCCGGCATCGGGGCATCGTTCCGATGCCGGGCGGCGGGGGGAGAGGTTCCCGCCCCACCGCCCGGCATCGGGGCATCGTTCCGATGCCCGGCGGCGGGGGGAGAGGTTCCCGCCCCACCGCCCGGCATCGGGGCATCGTTCCGATGCCCGGCGGCGGGGTGCGAGGTTCCCGCCCCACCGCCCCGCTTCGGAGCAGCGTTCCGAAGCGGGGCGGCTGGGGCAGGTGTTCCCGCCCCCCGCCCCCCGCCCCGCTTCGGAGCACCGGGAGAAGCGATCTCCCCGCAGCCCCTTGCTTCAAAAGAGGTCCGGGGGCAGCGGGGAAGAAGCGCTGCGCTTCCCGCTGCCCCCGGACCTCTTTTGAAGCAAGGGGCTGCGGGGAGATCGCTTCTCCCCGCAAAGCCTTGCTTCAAAAGAGGTCCGGGGGCAGCGCGAAGCGCTTCCCGCTGTCCCCGGACCTCTTTTGAAGCAAGGGGCGGTGGGGAGAAGCGATCTCGGGCGCCGCGGCGCGCAGGCGCACTGCTCGCTCCTCTTTCCGCGCAGGCACCTTCTCTCGCTCTTTCGCCTCCTTTTCTTTCTCTCTCGATGGTCCGCCTACAAAGGAGCGAGGGAGGCGCCCGCCATGTTTGGATTTGCATCCAGCAGGAGATGCCGCCGCCGCCCCGCCTCTCCCGCCTCCCTCCCACGGCACACCAGGCAAGGTCTCACGGCACACCAGTGTGCCGCGGAACACCGGTTGGGAAACACTGGTGTAGTGTTACATGCAAACCCAGCCCAGCACCTTAACAATTTACTGTATGCTGTTGCAACACTATGAAGCAACACCAGTAGTAGCACACCGGTGACACTGTGGAGCAACACAAGGAGTAGCACTGTGGCTGACCACTTCTTGTCCGATCGTTTGATCCTCATCTTATACCTACATCTTTAAAAACTCTTGCCTGGGAATTAAATTATATTTCCTTAATAAATCCAAAAGGACAAGGGGTTGAGCAGAAATATACTAAATGACTGCCAACAGCATGGTACTTAACATTTTATAACATAAGGAGTTTTCACACACCAGTCACTGCATGCCATATATAGTTACATCTTAATAGTTTCATTCCCCTTCAGAAGAGGATGCTCCAAATACAAGAGAATTTTGCTTCTGCCTTTTGAAGACAGCAGGCATTAAACACAGGCTTCTTGGGCAGTTACCTCAGGCCATGCAAGCTCCAGGATGGATTCCTAGAATATTTCCTAAACCATAATACTGAGGAGCTGATGTACTAGAGGCTTGCCTAGGAAAGTTTTATTAGCGTATTCTATTACAACACAGCTTTATCTAGGGCTGCAATCCCCAAAAACAACTACATATGAAAAGATATGACAGAAAGAGATGGAGCTTGCACATGCAAAAGTGAACAGGGACTGCATACATAATATGGAATACTCATTCTACAGCAGAAAACGCCAGCACTTCAACTGAGGCAGGTAAGGTGGAAAAGTGGTTTGGCAGACTCAGGCATCTTGTTCTCTTATTAGAAGTGACTTGGGAAAGCCAGCAGGGCCATTTAGAAAAGGGAAGTGCAGGCAGAAATCCTCTTTTCTCCTCCCTACTTATGCAGCTTAAAAGAATATGTTGAAAATAAAGGCAACAAAGGTTGTTGTTATGTGGTTTTTTAAACTTTTCATGTGCACTAGGTTACCGTTATCACTGAAAGGCTTTCACCTTGTTTGTGGGAATTTCAGTTGAACTCCATCAATCACGGTTTTCTGGGCCAAGGATATGTGGATGGCACTCCTTTTACAGCTTGTCAGTGTCACAATTTGTGTAGCCAGAGGGATTGCTGTGGAGCCACATTAGGCAAACTATCAAACTGGCAGGTTTTAAGGCATTGACAAATGCGCTCACTTTTGTTCTTCTTCAAACACAGAAGGTTGAAGGTTTGCTTTCATGTTTACAAAATTGCATTTTTTTCTCTGCAGGACAACAAATGGATCAAAACTCTTTTTAAAAAAAATAGTATTTTTCACCTGATTTACAGGTGCTGATCTTTCTACATGGCAGAACATCCAGTAATACCTTCGTGGTTACTTTTGTTATTGAGCATATTCAATCCAAATAATCTGGTGATTAGTATCTTTAAAACTGATAGGCTGAATTAAAAAGGTGGCAGATCTAAATTAAATGACCAAATGAGATAAGGCACACATTAACTAGAGATGTGAAATATACATATCTTCCTAAGAGATTCCCTTAATTTAACAGCATATATTATCATATCTATCCAGTAATGTATGCATGTCATAAGCTCCCCTGCAAACGAAATGGCTTATTCATTTTTGTGGAGATCTGTGTGTGTACTCCTTTCTGCACATAGACCAACTGATAAGCACATGTACTTTATATGCAGATTGGAGCAAATCCCAAAATCTCCATGCTCAAGTTCTGCATGTGTTAGCAGGTGTCCCAGAGGTCTTCCAGTTGAATAGAAGAAGCATTTTGCATCAGTCTTGCAAATCAAGAAATTGCTTTTTAACTCATCTAGTACCATAGCTCAGTGGCAGAGCACTTGTTTTGCATGCAGAAGGTCTCAAGTTTAATTTTTGGACATCGCCTCTGCTTGAGAACCTGGGAGAGCCGTTGCCAGTGAGGTAAATGGCATTGGGCTGGATAGATTAATAGCATGATTCAATAAATCAAGGATAGAGAACCTATGGCTAACTAGATGTTACTAGACTCCAATTCCCATCAAACCCAACCAGCATGGCCAAAGGTCAGGGATGATGGAAACTGTAGTCCATGAACATCTGGAGGGCCAGAGGCTTCCTATTTCTGCAACAAAGCAACATAATGTGGCTATTTCTTGAAATATGTGAGTTTCTTCTGAGAGCTGCTGGTGGTGAAGAATGTCAGACTGGAACTGGGTATACCCAGGCTCATTTCTCCACTCAGCCCTAGGTGACAATGAGCCAGGGACCATATTTCAACCTGTCCTACCTCACAGAGTTGTTGTGAAGGTAAAAGAGGGGCATGCATTCTGTATCAAGCTCCTTGGATGAAAGACAGGATAATAAAGAATAAAGAATAATAAAGAGTGGCTGTTAGCTATGGAAGATAAATATCTGCAAGTGTAGATAATTCTGTGGGTGATAATAAGGAAACCCAAATGGACTCAATTATTGGTTTATGACCAATGGTGTCCTGAATTTCGGAGTGCTTGGAATTTGGATTCTAGGTCTCTACATCACTCAATTCCAAGTAAGGCATTTGTGAACACAGTCCTAGTATTTTCTTACTTTGAAAGGTAGGTTTTAAAGAAGTATCTTGTCTAATGATCTCTTAAAGTAACTATCTTCCTAAAGAGAGAGAGAGAGAGAGAGAGAGAGAGAGAGAAGGATCAAGATTACTTATTGCTTTAGGCTATGGCAGAGGATTGTCTCTTTATGGTAATTACTTCCTGCATAATGGTGTACTATTTTGTTTTGTAGATACAAGTGTTACTTTTTTGCTTCAAGAAGGAAAACTAAACATTATTTAGGCAGTCTTTCAGTAGGCACTGCTGTGTTCATTGAGAACATCATTGTGACAATTGAAATCACATCTTGAGGCTAATTTTTGTAACCAAATAAGGCTCTCTCTTTTTGGTAATAAAAGATTAAGGAGTATGTGTTTTAAACATCCTTTAATGATGTACAAGATGCTTGGAAAGACCAATGTTTGCAATCTCTGGTTGGATCAACTCTATTTTGCTGAAAGGTTTGTGGACTTTGAATACTGATGCTTTCCTGCTTCCCAGTACATTTGTTTTTAGGCTATTTTTATTTCACTTTAAAGGAATTTTAATAACTTTGTGTTGACAGCATAGACAGCTGGGGCTGAGAATTAAAGAAAAACTCACTTGCTGACTGAGGAAGGAAGTGACATCAATGAGCTTCTAAAGACAGCCCAGAGGGGAAACTGAATTTTGTGCATGTGGCCTGCCGTTTCACTGTATTTACAGGAATGCCTACAAATGCAAATAGGAT